GACTTATTGTGATATCTATAGTTTTTTATGCAAAGATAGTTTCCTTGATTCTTAAGAATTTGGAATGAATGTATTAAAAATAGAATACTTGGAAACCAGCCACTCGTGTATTTTGGGGAGAGTTTATGTCCAGGAAATATGATCTATATATTAAAGTAAACATTGTATTGAGGCCAGGCTAGGGGGAAAAATGCAGGAAACATTTGAGGAGGAATTGTTAAACATAGATATATGCAGTCTGTCATACACTCTATTGTGTATGTTTTTTCCCTTTCCTTTTTCTTTCTCTAAAGGCAGAAAGAGAGAAAGAGAGAGGTGAGTGGGGGGAGGGAGGGAGAGATATTGTTTATATAGAAAGAGGCTTGCTGGGATGTATTAATAATAAGAGAGTAAAATGGAGTTCCATCCGAGTGGGGCATCCTCCATAGACCAACTGACCTTTTCCCGCACAGCTGCCTTGAATTATTTGTCTGTCTTTTTCAAACAATATCAATTCTATTTTCAGATCAGACAATTCTCTCTCCTCTCACGTACATAACGGATACATGGAAGCCATGTGCTGAAGGTGTGCCCTAAGCTTAGTGATGTGTCCTTATTTCCTGCCTTAATCTTAATCATTTAAAACAAACCCACATTTTAGTCTCAAAGCAGCAATGGTGGCCAGCATCCTCTGATTAGTGTTTCCTATTGAAGGCAAACAGGGATGTGGTGGCTCAGTGGCTAAGATGTGGAGCTTGTCGAGCAGAAAGGTCGGCAGTTTGGGGGTTTGAATCCTAATTTTACTGCTACTATTTATTACAACTTTTTAAATTTCTCAACTGGAAAATAAAATTGAAATAAATGGCTTCCTGTTCCAAATCAAAATGCCCACAAGGTCCCTTTAAGTCTATTTTTTTCTAATTCACATTTTGAAAGGTATTTTCACATTCAGATTTTCATTGCCTAATAAGATTAGGTGATGACATCCACATACAAAGCCAGCATTAGAAATCAAGCAACTATAGACAACACTTTTCTACCAGATGACATAAATACAATATATCTTAATTTTATATGTTCAGCTATAAATCTCAGGTGAACAATGATATGATGAGTGATTAAATGCATGCTTCCAAAATATTATTATAAATTATCATCCTTTGTATAACTGATGACTTTAAAATACTTCAGGATATTTGATCAAGGTAATGATTAGCAAATATTTTTTCTATAGAGAGTCTAATCTATCAGCAGAGGCTGATGTCTAAAAGGAATGCTTTGAAAATCTTTTAGTCGCTCTGAAGATATATTTCGTGTGTATAATTTTTGGAAAGAGTTAAGAGGGTGCTGATTTGTTTGTAGGGGTCCAGAAGGCATAGCTTTGGACTGTACGGGAAATCCAACTGATAATAGGGCTTTTGTAGCAGTTGTGTATATGACTGTATTATAAATCTAGAAAATATTACAAAGCTATTGTAAGTAATCTATATGTCCTCACTGAGAGGAAATCAAACTCATCATTAGTACCATAATTGATCTTGCTACTCAAAATCGTATTGCAATGGGGTTTTAAAATCATGAAGATACTTGTTTCATATACAGATGGATTTGGGATCATCAGAAAATATTAAATATTTAATATCAAATTATTCTGCAAATAACATGAATTTGAAGCTTGCAATTTAAATTCTGTCTTTTCTCCTGGTGCACAGGAGAACATATTTTTAATTTTATCCACAAATAAGTTGTGAAGTAAATTGGACTGAGAAACCCACCTAGATTCCAGAGATAAGTCTGGAACTGAATCTGGATCAGTTCCAACATCTATGTTTTACATAGAATACAAACATAAATCAACTACAGCAGTGTTTCTCAACCTTGGCGAGTGTGCTGTGGGGGATTCTGGGAGTTGAAATCCA